AAATGAAAAAAAAAAAGAGATTACTTTTAGATTATACAAAGTAGGGCAGTATAGAACCCCAAATCCTGTGCTTTCCAACTAAAACATTACCTCTAGACCAGGGTCATGTCTGACATTCAATCCACTAGCCTAAAAATGCTGAAGATCATTTGAGCTCTTGAATTGATAATTAAGAATCAAATCGGTGAGAATATAGTACACTGAATTTCTTTTTTGTCAGTAAACTGTTGAAGTTGCTGTTTAAATGAACTTTAGACATGTCAAAATGTTAAAAGATCATGATAGATTATTTGTGTATAACCTCAAACACTAGCCTAAATCTTTTCATTTGTGACATTCACCACATTTTAAAACGGTGACGCCCATGGATATTACATGATCAGTGAAGTGCAAGTATGTATCATGATGACATGAGGAGCGCATGATTGCCTTAAAGGTGTCGCAGTGTTTAGTTTGATTTAACTAGTGCAGTAACGGTGTGACGAAAACCAACAAATTGGAATCATTTATACGTGAAATCCTAAAAGGCATCGGTTGTGCCAGTTGTGGACTCTGAGTTGAGAATTATTTAGGGCAACACTGGGATTCATATTTAGTTGAGAAGATTAAAGAGCAACAATCATAATCACCCAGCGTTCGCACAGGTGGATGAAGAGGTAACTAGAGGCGTTTCACGTGGCTCTCAGACTGATCCTGAAGGCCATGTTTATAGTGTTTAACTCAATGACTAGGCTTCCTTTTAAAATAATTACTTTCAAATAACGTAGACTTTTTATTTTAAATGCCATACATTTGTTAATCATTTAAGTTTTTTTTTTAGCAGTCCACATATGATGTCAGTTTTTTAATGAAATTGCTCATTCTTGTAGATCTCTTAATTCTTTTGTTTTATTCGTTTCTGGTTTAATATATAGACATATTTCAAATCTGCAGTTCAGTCGTTCCATTGAGTAATCAGATGAGCTCGTGTTAATGGGTTGGAAGAGAAACGCTCATATACTTTTTCACTGTGGCAGCATCACGCTGCAGATTTTGCTCAGGAGATCACTGATATCTGCTGTAACTTGACTCTGTCCATCACTGTCCTACATATAAACCTGCTTGTACTGTTTCAGAACCCAATCATGGAGGAGACGGTGTGGGAGCAGTACACTGTGACCCTACAGCGGGTGAGTACTTCACCCTGTTTATTTCGAGAGCTAAAGTACTGTTCCTGCTTATTGGTTTCTCATTAAATTCTTTACATTCTTGTGTTTTTATAGGATTTTTTTCCCCCTTGAAAGTGAAGTGTGTCATTTCTGTACCTCTAGCATTAGATTTCTTGTGCAATCTGAGTGCAGGGGCAGGTACACTACCGTTCAAAGGTTTGGGGTTGGTGAGATATATTTTGTTTGAAAAAAAAAAAAGAATACTTTCATTTAGCAAGGATGCATTCAATTTATCAAAAATGACAGTAAAGACTTTTGCATTGTTGGTGAGCATAAGAGACATCTTTTGCAAACATTAAAAATCTGACCCCATACTTTTGAACGGTAGGGCACACTGTCATACATCTTCCACCACTGCTGTCTCTCAGCAGAAAACATATCATCGCTTCATCCTCTTGGTGAACTGTATCACACACATACATTTATAATATTTGTTTTGATGATATAACTGTTATATCCAAAGGCAGGAAAATGTAATTCCAGGTTAACTTGTTAATTAGTCATTGCTGCCTGTACATCTGCATGAATTTAAAGTGTTTTATTGTTGTAAATTAATAAATGGCTACTACGGAGTAGTGGACAACCGATATATCGGCCGATATTTGGCATTTTTCAAATATCGGCATCGGCCGATACGTTTTTCTGTTTGGCCGATGCGTTCTAGTCGGGACTTTTATTTTGACGTCGCTGAGAGCGGCAGCGCCTGAGCACACAGTGCTCACATTCTCCCTCTTGCTCGCCTTCGTCCTTAACAGTTCTGTCTAATACGGATAGAAGTCTGTCTAATAATCAGATAGAACGGTTAAACAAAGGAATTAAAATGTATATAAAAACTATTATAACGATTGCTTTTATATTATTAGTAATAGAAAGGCAAACATTATAATACTTTCTTGTTTGCCGTCAGCATTCAGCAAATACGCATTTACATCATTTAAACAAACCTTTGAATGGCTAATGAAAATTGAATTTCACAAACCTTGCAAACTTAGTCGAATCCAGTTGTGAGATCGTGTGAAGTGTGCATGTGACCTGCATGATCGCGTGTTCTCTGCGTGACTTTCGATCCATGCAAATCGAATGCTTTAAACATTAAATTCGTGATGAAATTATGCTACGCTTTATGCATTTGCCCACTGTCATATTCATGTAATTTTCACTGTGTGCTGTATGTAAAATGAGTGTTACCTTGGCTTTATTTGAAAAAAATATTATTCCCAATGCACACAAACTTCCCAGAATACTGAGTGCTGTTGGTTACAGTTTACTTCCTTTTTAGTTATATTTTTATTAAATATTTATTTGTGAAAAATACTTTGTCATCTAAAGTAGAGTATAAGTATGTTTATTTTACAAATATATTTTTTAATCCATTTTCAAATGATTTAAAATTTCTTAAATATTAATTAAAATAAATACAATTATATTGGCCATCGGCCACCCTGCTTTCCAAGATATCGGCATCGACTGTCAAAAAAACTATATCGGTCGACCACTACTACGGATTCATGCAAAAGATTCTTTACCTATTTATAGGACTCCAAGATGGGCTTTGGCATTGCTGTGTCTGGAGGGCGGGACAACCAAAACGAAGAAAATGGAGAAACGTTAATTGTTGTTTCCGATGTGCTGCAAGGGGGTCCTGCAGATGGCTTGCTATTGTAAGCTATGAAACAATATTAAACACATCCCAACCTTTTTTAAAAGATTTGTAATCCTAAAGTGAATATTCTAATCAACGCACTAATTTTATTTGACAAGATAAATATGTAAATTATATATTTTTATATATGAAAGTATATATATATTATATTACTTTTTATTTAAAATTGACAAAAGAAATTTAAATGAAACTGGCATGTATCCTTCAAGTATTTAAAAAATATTTCACACAGTAAACAGTCAGTATATAAGCAATTGACAAATAAACCCAAATATCAAAAATACAAATAAAGTTTTATTTTATTGCATTGCATTGCTTTGCATTTGTTATCTGCCAACACTATCAATTATTAAAGATTTTATTTGTTATTCAAATTTTAATATAGACTTTAATGTCAGCACCAAAATGCTGGTATTTCTGATAATTCCTCAACTGTTAGAAGGATTTGAAGCCATTTTCTCAAATGTAGAGACATTTTCTAACAGTCTTTCATGATGTTGTACAGTGAAAATGACAGAGTGATCCAGGTCAACAATGTGCCCATGGACGGTGTCCAACACACCTTTGCAGTGCAGACTCTCCGCAAATGTGGCAAAGTAGCCAAAATCGTGAGTGTAACCTTTTGAATTATTTCGATCAAGCATTTTTTTTGGCCATGTTTTTAAATCACTGGCAGGTGAAATCAGAGTTTAATGAATGAGTGATTTAATTTTTGTCCCCATCCTTCATCAGACGGTAAAGAGATCAAGAAAAATTCCCGTCAGCGTGATCAAACGTGGGCCGTCCCCAGATGACCGCGTCTTCAGCGGCGACTACAATGACGACTACGACTATGACCACGACCGGCGCAGCGTCTACAGCAGCTGCAGCTACCCTGATCCTGATGCGAGTCTGGAGCGCGACCGCAGCTACATGGATGATCACGATCGTGACTATGAGCGCAGTCGCAGGAGGAGTATGGAGCGCGGCGTGAGCCCTGACAGACAGTACAGACGAGACGGCAGCCGCGGCCAAATGCTGGACCACGAGCGCAGCCCCGACCGCCGTTGCCAAAGTGACCACAACCTGGATCGCGACCACAGTCCGGACCGCCGCTACCGAAGCGATCGCACGCTGGACCGCAACTACAGTCCAGACCGACGCTATCGCAGCGAACACAACCTGGACAGAGAGCGGAGTCCAGACAGACAGTACCGCAGCGATCGTACGCTGGACAGATCACATAGTCCTGATACGCGGTACAGGCCAGAACCGGCTCCGGGATTCAGCAGAGAGAATTTAGCCAGCGACCACGAGCGCAAGAGGTTGGAGCCGCGCCAGGATGAATCCATGAAGAGGAGTAGCAGTCGAGACCGGCTGGATCGCTCGCCCTCACCACCACCACAACGACACGAACCCTTGGAGAAGCCGCGCAATGTTACTCTTCTAAAGAACCGCCCCAATGACGGTAGATACGCACCACCTTCATTTATCTGTTTCCAGTTTCGAACTTCAGCCAAACCACTAACATGATGTTTTATCATATCTATCCAGAATATGGCCTTCGTCTTGGCAGTCAGCTGTTCATCAAAGAGATGACGAGCACAGGCCTGGCATCCAAAGAATGCAAACTACAGGAAGGCGACATCATTCTGAAAGTACGTCTTAACCACTCAGAACACCTTAGCAACCACATAGCAATGCCCTAGCAACCACCCACAAAACCTTAGCAGCTTCATAGCAAAGCTCTAGAAACAACCCACAACCGTATAGCAATTCCATGGCAACCATTCACATCAGCACTCAGAACAACTTAGCAACCACACTGCAGTGCCTTTGCATTGTGGCAATGTGTTTTGCACTGAAAGCACTTTTTTAGTTTTTTGATGTTTTTGCTCACCAAGCAACTTTTTAATGCTTACCTGCAAGGCTGCATTTATTGGATTAAAAATACAGTAAAACAGTAATATTGTGAAATGTTATTACAATTTAAAATAACTGTTTTCTATATGAATTTATTTAAAATATATATAATTTATTTCTGTGGTCAAAGCTGAATTTTCAGCATCATTACTCCTGTCTTCAGTGTCACATGTAGGGCTGTCAAAAAAAAAATCGAATTTCGAATATTCGTCGAATTTAAAAATTGTTGTTTCCGATGTGCTGCAAGGGGGTCCTGCAGATGGCTTGCTATTGTAAGCTATGAAACAATATTAAACACATCCCAACCTTTTTTAAAAGATTTGTAATCCTAAAGTGAATATTCTAATCAACGCACTAATTTTATTTGACAAGATAAATATGTAAATTATATATTTTTATATATGAAAGTATATATATATTATATTACTTTTTATTTAAAATTGACAAAAGAAATTTAAATGAAACTGGCATGTATCCTTCAAGTATTTAAAAAATATTTCACACAGTAAACAGTCAGTATATAAGCAATTGACAAATAAACCCAAATATCAAAAATACAAATAAAGTTTTATTTTATTGCATTGCATTGCTTTGCATTTGTTATCTGCCAACACTATCAATTATTAAAGATTTTATTTGTTATTCAAATTTTAATATAGACTTTAATGTCAGCACCAAAATGCTGGTATTTCTGATAATTCCTCAACTGTTAGAAGGATTTGAAGCCATTTTCTCAAATGTAGAGACATTTTCTAACAGTCTTTCATGATGTTGTACAGTGAAAATGACAGAGTGATCCAGGTCAACAATGTGCCCATGGACGGTGTCCAACACACCTTTGCAGTGCAGACTCTCCGCAAATGTGGCAAAGTAGCCAAAATCGTGAGTGTAACCTTTTGAATTATTTCGATCAAGCATTTTTTTTGGCCATGTTTTTAAATCACTGGCAGGTGAAATCAGAGTTTAATGAATGAGTGATTTAATTTTTGTCCCCATCCTTCATCAGACGGTAAAGAGATCAAGAAAAATTCCCGTCAGCGTGATCAAACGTGGGCCGTCCCCAGATGACCGCGTCTTCAGCGGCGACTACAATGACGACTACGACTATGACCACGACCGGCGCAGCGTCTACAGCAGCTGCAGCTACCCTGATCCTGATGCGAGTCTGGAGCGCGACCGCAGCTACATGGATGATCACGATCGTGACTATGAGCGCAGTCGCAGGAGGAGTATGGAGCGCGGCGTGAGCCCTGACAGACAGTACAGACGAGACGGCAGCCGCGGCCAAATGCTGGACCACGAGCGCAGCCCCGACCGCCGTTGCCAAAGTGACCACAACCTGGATCGCGACCACAGTCCGGACCGCCGCTACCGAAGCGATCGCACGCTCGACCGCAACTACAGTCCAGACCGACGCTATCGCAGCGAACACAACCTGGACAGAGAGCGGAGTCCAGACAGACAGTACCGCAGCGATCGTACGCTGGACAGATCACATAGTCCTGATACGAGGTTCAGGCCAGAACCGGCTCCGGGATTCAGCAGAGAGAATTTAGCCAGCGACCACGAGCGCAAGAGGTTGGATCCGCGCCAGGATGAATCCAAGAAGAGGAGTAGCAGTCGAGACCGTCTGGATCGCTCGCCCTCACCACCACCACAACGACACGAACCCTTGGAGAAGCCGCTCAATGTTACTCTTCTAAAGAACCGCCCCAATGACGGTAGATACGTACCACCTTCATTTATCTGTTTCCAGTTTTGAACTTCAGCCAAACAACTAACATGATGTTTTATCATATCTATCCAGAATATGGCCTTCGTCTTGGCAGTCAGCTGTTCATCAAAGAGATGACGAGCACAGGCCTGGCATCCAAAGAACGCAAACTACAGGAAGGCGACATCATTCTGAAAGTACGTCTTAACCACTCAGAACACCTTAGCAACCACAGAGCAATGCCCTAGCAACCACCCACAAAACCTTAGCAGCTTCATAGCAAAGCTCTAGAAGCAACCCACAACCGTATAGCAATTCCATGGCAACCATTCAGCACTCAGAACAACTTAGCAACCACACTGCAGTGCCTTTGCATTGTGGCAATGTGTTTTGCACTGAAAGCACTTTTTTAGTTTTTTGATGTTTTTGCTCACCAAGCAACTTTTTAATGCTTACCTGCAAGGCTGCATTTATTGGATTAAAAATACAGTAAAACAGTAATATTGTGAAATGTTATTACAATTTAAAATAACTGTTTTCTATATGAATTTATTTAAAATATATATAATTTATTTCTGTGATCAAAGCTGAATTTTCAGCATCATTACTCCTGTCTTCAGTGTCACATGTAGGGCTGTCAAAAAAAAAAAAATCGAATTTCGAATATTCGTCGAATTTAAAATAAAATTCCACATTCGAATGCAAAAACGTTGCATTCGAATTTTAGGTGTGCGTTAAGGAGCCAGCCTTATCAGTGGTGCACGAGATGCGATGACGATGTAAAGTCATTGCATTTTAATGTTTTTGTTAGCCTATCCAGTTGAAGCCACTAGATGCGGCGCTGCTGAGTTGTTAATTACAAATATTGCGGGAAAAGAGAACATCAATGCAGAGAAGGTCTTGTTTACGTCAAAACTGAAACCAAGCCGTTCACACAGAATGCATATTTCGCGCATTTTCTAGAGGGACATCTATTACCATTTGCACTTGCGTCTAGCACAAGAGAGCCTAATTTTTTCCCCCCCCATCCCACTGCAACACAGCGTCTCCCTGACATGCTGCTTCAACACTAACTGCGGTTACTGAAACCACACCTTCTTTCTTTGCGTGCACATTTGGGCGCATTATGCTAATATTTCCACATAGTGAGGTAGATATGTGGGGGCGTGTTAGAACGAGCCGTTTTAGGGGGGCGTGGCAGAGTCTTAACTTTGATAAATAATATCTCTTTGGTTTTGAGACTTTAGTCTTTGCAACTTCAGGGATCTTATCTATGCACAATCAGCTTGTAACACTCCAAAGAGAAAGGAAAACTTGAAATCGCATCATATGACCCCTTTAAAAAATAAATTAAAAAATTACAAACTTTTGAATGGAAGTTTTTTAAAAAAAAAATTCTTCTCAGATTTGTTGTACTTTGTTATTTATTGATGCTTAATTTGGTGTGTCAGATTAACGGTACAGTCACAGAGAACCTGTCTCTGAGCGACGCAGGGAAGCTGATTGAGAAGTCTCGTGGGAAGCTGCAGCTGGTGGTGCAGAGGGATCGCAGTCAGGTGCTCATTCGAGTCCCACCTATGGCAGACAGCGACTCAGAAATGGATGGTGAGTGGATCAAAAAAACACACTTGCGGATGAACAATCACAATATTTCTGATTGAATTAAAGCCATCTTTAAGTGGCTTTACGAATGGCTTTACAAATAAATATTTATTTTTTCACTAAATTGCATCAGTACTTAAGATTTTTGCATCAATATATTTCATTTAATTAAAATGTTTACTAAACAATAATTGATATTAATTATTGTTTGAATGAATATTGTTTTTATATGTATAATTACCTCGTGACACGTGTAAAGAGAAGATGTATGATATCGTGAGGTATTTGGCAAAACCCAGCCATAATCTCTAGGTGACCTCTGACCTCATTACTTTTTTTTTTTAGCTGCTGTACTGTCACTGGATTGGAGAGAAAAAGCTTTTGGCTTTGGGAGGATTACATAAACCCTACCCATAATCCAAAACTTATGAAAAATGTAATTTTATAAGCTCTAGTGAGACTTGTCCTATGTTTTGCAAGTTGTTTGTTCATGTTCTTCTGAAAATCTGTATTGGTTTTTAGATTAAATAATGTAAGATATAAGAATGATGGAAAACAAGTTTGGTTTTAATTAGTAGCTGGTGTTATATTTCTCAGATTTGCTCTGCAGATATAAATGGTGCCTCAAAGCATGTGTCTTGTTCTAGTGATGCTGACATGTACTGTGTGTTGCAGATATCTCAGAGATCGAGTCGTACCGCTCCTATTCTCCTCAGGAGGACCGGCGGAGTCATCACTCTGACCTCTCCTCACACTCCTCTAATGAGAGACTGCAGGACAAAAGCAGGTAATACACTGCCGTACCCTCAGACTTCAACTGTCAACAATTATTTACTGTAACACTTTACAATAAGACTCCATTTGTTAATTAACATAGAACTAACAATAAATTTTTTTTAAAGCATATATTATCTTAGCTAATTACATAAAATAAATTCAAAAGTTGTATTTGTTAATATTATTTAATGGACCTGAGCTAACATTAACTAGCGATAAACAGTTGTATTTATATGAACTAACATTAAAAATTAATAAATGCTGTAACAAATGTGTTGCTCATTGTTACTTAATGTTAGTTGTTGCATTAACTAATGGGACCTTATTGTAAAGTGTTACCAAGTAACTAGCTTGCCAAGTTAAAAGTTAATAATTGATATGCTATTTAAACTACAGTCAAACTACCCTTTAAAACAAATAGTGATGCTATAAATTACTAGCAGATAGCTAGTAATTAGCATTTCAGAGGGTGATCATTTTCATATTAAATAATTTAGTTAATAATCAGAGCATAAAACAATGAGGAACTCAATTTTGGTGACAGCATTAAACAAAAAGCACATTTATGTTTGATTCAGCTAATAAAACTAGAAAACAGCCAAATATATAACTAAATCAGAAACCTCATAAGAAAGAAGCAAAAGCATGATAGGATGATTTTCCAAATAAACTAAGAGCCCATTCAATGGAAAAACCAGTGCAGAGGGCGTAAGTTATTTTCTTCTGTTGGTAGAGATGCGCCTCCTAACAGACTGGCTAAAATGGGAGCGATGCCGACTCCGTTCAGAGCAGTGCCGGTGGAGCTCCCGCCTCCACCTGTAGAGAAGGAAGAGCCTCGCAGCGAGTCTCCAGGTACCACAGTTCCTCTACACCGCAGTGGGTTAATGGAAATGAAATTATGTGATGCATTACTCCAAGACTTCCTCGATCTCATAATTGTAGAATCAGAAGAATAGAAGAAACAGATGATGTACGTTGTTTTTTATACAGCTCCTGTGGTAAATGCTGCTCCAAAAAGTGTTCCAGTGAAAGCCAAGCCTCTGCCAAATGTTCCCCTGTGGCCCAGTCTGGAGGACCAGGAAATATACGGGTTTGTACTCGATTGTCTCAGACGTTCCTATTATAAAGGATCATGTGCTTGGATCCTGATTATTGCTATTGACTATATTTAGACAACTTTGTAGTTCTAATGAAAAATCTTCCACAGCCCCAACACTGTGATGGTGCGCTTCCAGAAGGGTGAAAGTGTTGGCCTGCGTCTCGCTGGAGGAAACGATGTGGGCATTTTTATCGCGGGCGTTCAGGAGGACAGTCCTGCCGAGATAGAGGGACTCCGCACTGGAGACCAGATTGTGAAGGTGCAACATCACTGGCTCTGCATTTTAATATTATGTGCCTTAATCCGTCATACATTTTCCCACATCGTCAAGTGGTAATTTGTGTTTTTCTTTCCTTGCAGGTGAATAATATGGATTTTAGAGGAATGGTCCTTTGCAACTTCAGGGATCTTATCTATGCACAATCAGCTTGTAACACTCCAAAGAGAAAGGAAAACTTGAAATCGCATCATATGACCCCTTTAAAAAATAAATTAAAAAATTACAAACTTTTGAATGGAAGTTTTTTAAAAAAAAAATTCTTCTCAGATTTGTTGTACTTTGTTATTTATTGATGCTTAATTTGGTGTGTCAGATTAACGGTACAGTCACAGAGAACCTGTCTCTGAGCGACGCAGGGAAGCTGATTGAGAAGTCTCGTGGGAAGCTGCAGCTGGTGGTGCAGAGGGATCGCAGTCAGGTGCTCATTCGAGTCCCACCTATGGCAGACAGCGACTCAGAAATGGATGGTGAGTGGATCAAAAAAACACACTTGCGGATGAACAATCACAATATTTCTGATTGAATTAAAGCCATCTTTAAGTGGCTTTACGAATGGCTTTACAAATAAATATTTATTTTTTCACTAAATTGCATCAGTACTTAAGATTTTTGCATCAATATATTTCATTTAATTAAAATGTTTACTAAACAATAATTGATATTAATTATTGTTTGAATGAATATTGTTTTTATATGTATAATTACCTCGTGACACGTGTAAAGAGAAGATGTATGATATCGTGAGGTATTTGGCAAAACCCAGCCGTAATCTCTAGGTGACCTCTGACCTCATTACTTTTTTTTTTTAACTGCTGTACTGTCACTGGATTGGAGAGAAAAAGCTTTTGGCTTTGGGAGGATTACATAAACCCTACCCATAATCCAAAGCTTATGAAAAATGTAATTTTATAAGCTCTAGTGAGACTTGTCCTATGTTTTGCAAGTTGTTTGTTCATGTTCTTCTGAAAATCTGTATTGGTTTTTAGATTAAATAATGTAAGATATAAGAATGATGGAAAACAAGTTTGGTTTTAATTAGTAGCTGGTGTTATATTTCTCAGATTTGCTCTGCAGATATAAATGGTGCCTCAAAGCATGTGTCTTGTTCTAGTGATGCTGACATGTACTGTGTGTTGCAGATATCTCAGAGATCGAGTCGTACCGCTCCTATTCTCCTCAGGAGGACCGGCGGAGTCATCACTCTGACCTCTCCTCACACTCCTCTAATGAGAGACTGCAGGACAAAAGCAGGTAATACACTGCCGTACCCTCAGACTTCAACTGTCAACAATTATTTACTGTAACACTTTACAATAAGGCTCCATTTGTTAATTAACATAGAACTAACAATAAAATTTTTTTAAAGCATATATTATCTTAGCTAATTACATAAAATAAATTCAAAAGTTGTATTTGTTAATATTATTTAATGGACCTGAGCTAACATTAACTAGCGATAAACAGTTGTATTTATATTAACTAACATAAAAAATTAATAAATGCTGTAACAAATGTGTTGCTCATTGTTACTTAATGTTAGTTGTTGCATTAACTAATGGGACCTTATTGTAAAGTGTTACCAAGTAACTAGCTTGCCAAGTTAAAAGTTAATAATTGATATGCTATTTAAACTACAGTCAAACTACCCTTTAAAACAAATAGTGATGCTATAAATTACTAGCAGATAGCTAGTAATTAGCATTTCAGAGGGTGATCATTTTCATATTAAATAATTTAGTTAATAATCAGAGCATAAAACAATGAGGAACTCAATTTTGGTGACAGCATTAAACAAAAAGCACATTTATGTTTGATTCAGCTAATAAAACTAGAAAACAGCCAAATATATAACTTAATCAGAAACCTCATAAGAAAGAAGCAAAAGCATGATAGGATGATTTTCCAAATAAACTAAGAGCCCATTCAATGGAAAAACCAGTGCAGAGGGCGTAAGTTATTTTCTTCTGTTGGTAGAGATGCGCCTCCTAACAGACTGGCTAAAATGGGAGCGATGCCGACTCCGTTCAGAGCAGTGCCGGTGGAGCTCCCGCCTCCACCTGTAGAGAAGGAAGAGCCTCGCAGCGAGTCTCCAGGTACCACAGTTCCTCTACACCGCAGTGGGTTAATGGAAATGAAATTATGTGATGCATTACTCCAAGACTTCCTCGATCTCATAATTGTAGAATCAGAAGAATAGAAGAAACAGATGATGTACGTTGTTTTTTATACAGCTCCTGTGGTAAATGCTGCTCCAAAAAGTGTTCCAGTGAAAGCCAAGCCTCTGCCAAATGTTCCCCTGTGGCCCAGTCTGGAGGACCAGGAAATATACGGGTTTGTACTCGATTGTCTCAGACGTTCCTATTATAAAGGATCATGTGCTTGGATCCTGATTATTGCTATTGACTATATTTAGACAACTTTGTAGTTCTAATGAAAAATCTTCCACAGCCCCAACACTGTGATGGTGCGCTTCCAGAAGGGTGAAAGTGTTGGCCTGCGTCTCGCTGGAGGAAACGATGTGGGCATTTTTATCGCGGGCGTTCAGGAGGACAGTCCTGCCGAGATAGAGGGACTCCGCACTGGAGACCAGATTGTGAAGGTGCAACATCACTGGCTCTGCATTTTAATATTATGTGCCTTAATCCGTCATACATTTTCCCACATCGTCAAGTGGTAATTTGTGTTTTTCTTTCCTTGCAGGTGAATAATATGGATTTTAGAGGAATGGTCCGGGAAGACGCAGTCCTCCATTTACTAGAGATTCCCAAAGGAGAGGATGTGACCATCCTGTCTCAAAGCAAACCTGATGGTACTTCAAGACACACAATAGAATAGTATACAAAAGAGTAATGTACATAACTGTTCAAAAGTTTAGAGTCAGTAAGACTGGAGTAATGATGCTGAAAATTCATCTTTGCATCACTGGAATAAATTACATTTTAAAATATATATATTCAAATAGAAAGGAGTTATTTTAAATAAAATTAAATTTTTTGTCTGATGACTCTGATTTGTTTTATTTTAGTGTATAAAGACATCCTGGCATCTGGACGAGGTGATAACTTCTTCATCAGAACTCATTTTGAATATGAGAAAGAGCTTCCTCAGAGCTTGACCTTCTCCAGAGGAGAGATATTTAAAGTGGTGGACACCCTGTATGACGGAAAGCTGGGTAACTGGCTCGCCATCCGCATGGACAAAGACAATCAGCTCCTGGAGAAAGGCATCATACCCAGCAAGAGCCGGTGAGACTCGTGTGATTCGACCTGAAATACACAGCGGCTCACACTGCAGATGTCTTCACTTTATGACTTAGTTTAATTGCATTTATTTAGTATTACTAGGAGGAAAAGTTCTCTTAAAGTCAGCATGAATCAAAACTGACCTTCTGAAATGACGTTTGCTGACATCACCTAGTCTGCCATTTCATGTTGACATTAAAAGCATGTTATTTGTTTGGTGTTTGTGTGATTATGTTATTTGCATACTATCAGAGCTGAGCAGATGGCGAATGTTCAGAACACACAGAAAGGCGCTGCCAATGACAGAGGAGATTTCTGGAGGCTGAGAGGTCAACGAGCAGCCAAGAAAAAAGACCTTCGCAAGAGCAGAGAGGATCTGAGCGCTACACCCGTCACTACACGCTTCCCAGCCTACGAGAGAGTGGTGCTGCGGGAAGGTACACCCATCATTCCTTTACCTAATATTCGGTTTAAACATGCATTTGAAAGTTTCATAAAAGAAGTTTCACCTGACATGTTTTTTGTTCATTTATACAGGCCTTTTATTTATGAATATTTGCATTTTATGAATTTAAAAATTTTTTTAGTTGTTAAAACGTATTTTGTTTAATCCTTTTTTTTTTTTTTTATTAATTTAGTGTTGATTATTTGAGACACTCAGAGTTTGTTGTTTTTAATACATTTAAAAAAATATTATAATTTTTTTTAAATATAATTTTTTTCTTTTTTTTGTTTTGTTTTATGTCATTTTAGTTGACAAACTTGACATGTTTATATACTAAGTCTTTTATCTCTCCACCACCAGCTGGGTTCAGAAGACCTGTCGTAATATTCGGCCCTATTTCAGATGCAGCCAATGAAAAACTTGGCAATGATCTTCCAGATGAGTTTATCATAGCAAGTAAACCATTCACAACTTTTATGAAAGATCTCTTCAGATATAGTGATGTGTATGTGTGAATGAGGCGTTTGATCGGTGTTTTTCCCATGACAGAGACAGAACCGAAAGACGCGGGCTCAGAGAAGTCGTCTGGTGTTGTGAGACTGAATATTATCCGTCAGATCATCGAGCAGGTAAACAGTCCACAATCACCCTTCTGAATGAGTGTACATAACAACAATTCATAAATATCTAAGAATATTATTTTCTCATTCCTAGGATAGACACGCTCTGCTCGATGTCACCCCGAAGGCCGTAGACACCCTAAACTACACCCAGTGGTATCCCATCGTCATTTTCCTCAACCCAGACAGTAAGCAGGGGGTGAAGACCATGAGAAACCGCCTGGCTCCCGGCTCTAACCGCAGTTCACGCAAGCTTTACGAACAAGCAGTTAAACTGCGGAAAACCTGCTCCCACCTGTTCACTGGTTAGTCTGATGAGTCTTTCCTCAGATAATGTAGAAATTACAACCATATAAGATCCATTTTATTCTTTACCAAGTTCTTATTTTATTTATTTATTTATTTATTTCAAATTCTGTTTTCCGTTTTATTTTTCCAGATTCTGTTTTTTGCTTTTTGATAAAATTTTTATTTTTTTTTTGTATTCTATGTTGATGGTTCAATTAAATGTTAGGTCTAATTAATTTAAATCCATTTAATAACAATTTATTACAAGTTTAAGAAAAGATAGGGCACCATGAAATTAGTTTTATTTTTTCCAAATTGCATGTTTTCCTTTTTTTTGTCATCATTGCATTTTAATGGTTTAATTACACTTTATTAATCATAAAGCATGTCTAATCAATTGAATTCATGAAACTTTAACAACTGAATTTATTAAAATTTTTACAAAAATGGTGCCCTATAAAATATTAACATTTTTCAGTCATTCTGGGTTTTATGTTTAATTTTTCTGGATTTATGAATTAATACAGTTTTTTTTTTAATGATCAAAAATAGAGGTAATCAAACGAATGCATAAAACATTAAATTGCAATTCAATTCAATGCAGTAATAATTCAATTAATATTTTAAAATGTACTCAAATGAAAATGTATCTATTTTTTATTATTATTGTTTTTGGCCAACAAAGTGCTACACAACAGGTTTACGCTCAGATTAAAAAAAATTATATTCCTTAAAAAATAAATAAAGTTATAAATGTCTAAATTACGCTTCCTTGTCCAGCTACCATTGATCTGAGCTCTTCCCTCGGCCCTATTTCAGATGCAGCCAATGAAAAACTTGGCAATGATCTTCCAGATGAGTTTATCATAGCAAGTAAACCATTCACAACTTTTATGAAAGATCTCTTCAGATATAGTGATGTGTATGTGTGAATGAGGCGTTTGATCGGTGTTTTTCCCATGACAGAGACAGAACCGAAAGACGCGGGCTCAGAGAAGTCGTCTGGTGTTGTGAGACTGAATATTATCCGTCAGATCATCGAGCAGGTAAACAGTCCACAATCACCCTTCTGAATGAGTGTACATAACAACAATTCATAAATATCTAAGAATATTATTTTCTCATTCCTAGGATAGACACGCTCTGCTCGATGTCACCCCGAAGGCCGTAGACACCCTAAACTACACCCAGTGGTATCCCATCGTCATTTTCCTCAACCCAGACAGTAAGCAGGGGGTGAAGACCATGAGAAACCGCCTGGCTCCCGGCTCTAACCGCAGTTCACGCAAGCTTTACGAACAAGCAGTTAAACTGCGGAAAACCTGCTCCCACCTGTTCACTGGTTAGTCTGATGAGTCTTTCCTCAGATAATGTAGAAATTACAACCATATAAGATCCATTTTATTCTTTACCAAGTTCTTATTTTATTTATTTATTTATTTATTTCAAATTCTGTTTTCCGTTTTATTTTTCCAGATTCTGTTTTTTGCTTTTTGATAAAATTTTTATTTTTTTTTTGTATTCTATGTTGATGGTTCAATTAAATGTTAGGTCTAATTAATTTAAATCCATTTAATAACAATTTATTACAAGTTTAAGAAAAGATAGGGCACCATGAAATTAGTTTTATTTTTTCCAAATTGCATGTTTTCCTTTTTTTTGTCATCATTGCATTTTAATGGTTTAATTACACTTTATTAATCATAAAGCATGTCTAATCAATTGAATTCATGAAACTTTAACAACTGAATTTATTAAAATTTTTACAAAAATGGTGCCCTATAAAATATTAACATTTTTCAGTCATTCTGGGTTTTATGTTTAATTTTTCTGGATTTATGAATTAATACAGTTTTTTTTTTAATGATCAAAAATAGAGGTAATCAAACGAATGCATAAAACATTAAATTGCAATTCAATTCAATGCAGTAATAATTCAATTAATATTTTAAAATGTACTCAAATGAAAATGTATCTATTTTTTATTATTATTGTTTTTGGCCAACAAAGTGCTACACAACAGGTTTACGCTCAGATTAAAAAAAATTATATTCCTTAAAAAATAAATAAAGTTATAAATGTCTAAATTACGCTTCCTTGTCCAGCTACCATTGATCTGAGCTCTTCCCATGATGCCTGGTATGGAAGTCTCAAGGATGCCATACGAGAACAACAAGATAAAGCTGTCTGGGTCTGTGAAAGCAAGGTCAGCATTTATACATATCAATTATACACAACTGCTTTGTTTCATAGTTCTTCATCTCCTTAAGCAATGCTTTGCCAGTCTTAATTTACAAGTGAAATTACACATCATCAGAGGTTTTCTGTATATCGTTTCAGCTTGATGGGTCTGAGGAGGACCTGGATCTCCATGATGACCGTATGTCGTACCTGTCGGCCATGAGCGCGCACACAACCCGTCAGTAATGGCTCTGTTCCCTTCAGCTCCAGCTCAAACGCTGAGTCCCAGAGCTCCTCCAAACCGCCGTATTCAGAGAGCCGCTCTCACCACCACGCCGATGATGATGATGATGAAGAGGAGTATCGACGCCAGCTGGCAGACCAAACCCGCAGAGGCTACTACAGTGCCCAGAAATACAACGATACTGAACTCTAACACCCAATCTCCCAAAAACTATCAGAGCAGAAGTAGCCGAGTCTCTTCACTGCGTCCGTCTGTGTTGGGATGTTTCCTGTGCATGTCGTTATAAAGCAAATGAATGTGCTTCTAGTTGTTGTGTGAGTAAGAGGGACTGACATGAACCACAGATAAAGCACAAGAGATAGTGTTAGCCACAAACACGCATGCCGTATATACATGCCATTTATAAAACAGCATCTTTTTATACCTGCAATGTTTTTATATGAAATTTCAGTGTATATTTCATGTCTGCCTGTAGTGTTTTTTTTCCCCCACAATGCTTCTAGATGGAGTTAACGTTACACTTTCCTCATTTACACTGCTGAAGTTTGCCATAAACCAAAAGTGAAATTGGTTTAAATGTTATTTTCCAAAACATTTGCTGGAGTGCCTTAATGTCATTGATCAAACATGTATTAACCATATATTACTATGCTCTAATTATGTTAAAAACTGGCTTCACATCAGTTTTTATATTGATTCTCTGAGAATATAAGAAGGTCATGTGTAATGTTCACACTATTGGTGTGTGTCTGTGATCAGTGCGTTGGGTTTAACCACTAATAAAACAGAGTTGTGGGATTTTTAAAGACAAATCAATAAACCTGACTTTTGATGTTACTTTTGCTTGTCGTTATTCATGCTTGTCTCACTATTTCTATCAATAACCCAAACCATATCTAGAGCAGAAATTAACCGATTCTGATAGATTTTTTTTAATGTCCGTCTCTACAATATTTTATAGTAATTACTGTTATTATTATTAATTGTGCTTTTATATTTATCTACAAAAGTTCTGCAATCTAAATGGTTGCAAATGTACATTGCTGTCTACAGAAATGAATGCGTTTACTGATGATCAGAAATGTTTTTTAGAATGATTTCTGAAGGATCATGTGACACTGAAGGCTAGAGTACTGCTTTTTCTGCGTTTTGGACTCTCCGAATGCTACATTTAAAATTGTACAATGTTTCCTACATTACATAAGTTACTTTACTTGTGACTGCTGTTGTTTTCTGCTAAACCCACAACAGTGTTGAACTTAGTGAGACCCGCCGAATGCTTTTATTTAAGAGCAGATTAACCAGAAATGAAAGTAAAGTCAGATTATCACTTTAATCTAGAGACCTTGGGTCAAAACATATATAAATGTGTTCTATAGAAAATGTACAACTTTAATGAAAACATACCAGTGTAAATATTTAGTTCATTGATTCCTTTACTTTGAGTTGACTGATGACTACAGTAGAGCTCATACATCAGATCTGTGTCAGTAAGAGTTCGACTGAATCCTGTATTACTGTGCTCAGTGCCATTGATCTCTGTGATAGTTTAGGTCCAGTCGTGTGTCGGGCGCATGATTGATCTCCATTCACTTCTCTTTGGTACTAATGCCGCGTTCAGAGATCAGTCAGACCAGAGAGATTAAGGCAGGTCATATGGTGCTGGAATGGTTTGGTTTCTGCACTAATGTGTAATAAATAAATTCATCCAGTTAAATAAATCTGTAAACAGTTATATTAATCTTTCAATAAATAATAACTCTGGATCAGCTGATGTGGAGGTGATGGTGTTGTAGCCCTGCAGAGTGTCAGATGTAGACGGGTTGTTCCTGGGCCGTGAGCAGGCGGTACATGGCTGCAGGCATAGTCTTCATATGGATCTGACGAAAACAACATATTACAGTATTCATCACTGGATCACCGTTCATGTGTGCATCATATTTTTAAGATTATTAGCAATTAGCTTAGCAACATGCTATCAGCAAAGCCTGCCATCAAAAACAGCCAGGTTTATTATAGTTAACACGACACCATGTTTATTTAAAATGTGTATGCGCTTTGGCCGTTCATTTACATGACAACGGTTTTGAGGGCCTGAAAATGCAAACTTATAAAAACTGGTTTAAAAGTGCAAGTTTTTGAAAATGATTCTTTTCAAAGTGACGTCGCCAACTACTGGCCTGGCATGAATAATACAGCGCTTTTAGTCGTTTCGCAGATCTGTGTGAACGGTGATCATTCTGACAATGTTGTCGTCTGTGCATGAAACTCTTCTAAAATACAAAGGAAAAACTTTTCCGTTTTCAGTATGCTGTTGTGTAAACACCTAAAACCCTAAAACTCTAAAATATATATATATATATATATCAATTTTGTTACTGGAAATAATATACATTTTAAAAAACTTTAACTTATTTTATTTCATCTAGTTGCCAGAGCAACATTTCTAATCTTGAAATGAATAAAAACTATATAATGTTTTTTTTTAAACGACTAAATATGGCATAAATGCAACAAAATTGCTAAAACTTAAAAACAATAATAATAAAATAATTTTTTTTTAAATACAAAAAAAATTACTAAAACTAAAACAGTATCTCAATGATCTAAATGAAGCAAAAATATATTTTTAATTATATAAAACCTTGTTGTTTGTTGTAAAATCGCAATAAAGCACAGCATGAGGTGCTGTACTACTGTTATAAAATGGCAGTAATAGAAATATGATGAAAGCCAACCAATATGGAATATATTTTGAACTCTATTAATAAGGCTCTTCCATACAGTTCAACAGTAATTTACAGTTGCCAAGCAACATAGCAACTAACTGTATATATAATATGCACATTTACAGTGGGTACGGAAAGTAAATGATTTTAGCAAATGGCTGTGAGAGTGAAAAATTTAAGGGGGTCTGAATACTTTCCGTACCCACTGTATATGAATCACAGATATGTGTTCATCATGGCTCATCCAGAATTTAGAGTTGAAACTATCCGAAATCAAATTTAATGAAATCATGATCTCAATTAGCGTTGAAAACGTGCATAATCTAATAGAACAAAAACATTCTTTGATTTATAAAACTGATTCAAAAACAGCAGCATTTGCCATTATTTGTCCTTTAATAATTTTTTGAAGTAATAAAATATTGGCAACAAAAATGAATGATGTAAAATGTCTTTCAGACTTCTGAATTAGACTACTGAATTATGACTGATCTTAATATTTACATTTTTTCATCTAGTTTTTTTAATTGAATCATGTGAATGAACTGATTCACTGAACAAGCAGCTCCTGACACAGGCGGATCTTTACCTCTCCCACAGCGTTTGACAGGATGTGAACGATCTTCTCGTGAGCTGTGGCCACCACGCTCTGACTGTTGATCTCGATGATGCGATGGCCGACGCGGACCCCTCCTCTCTCTGCGATCCCCCCTCGCATCAGACTACAGATCTGAACAAAACACAAACTCTGTTAGTAGCTTGTAAAACATGACAGAAACTGACAACCCATTTCTGATGTTTAGATGTGAATACCCACAATGCCATTCTGTACACTGAAACCCAGCTGATAGCGCAGGTCTGGTCGGCGAATGAGCACCATGGTCACAGGAGGACACCTGACGATGTTCAACTTGATCCTGGATTGAGCCTTCAGCCCCTGAACACAGAACAGGTACCATTTGTGAACAAGGCAATCCCAAAGGTGTTTTTTACACTACCATTGAGAAATTTTAACCAAACTATGTTACTGACTTTTCATTAAGACACTAAAGAATCATATCAACTTGTGGAAAATGGGAATCCGATGACCCCTTTAATAAAACATATTATAAATGTACAAGGTAAAAGAAATGAGTCCTACTTTAATGATGCTCTGACATGTGGAGAGCGGCAGTCCCACCAGACTGGTGCCGTTGACGGTCATGATCTGATCGCCGATGTTCAGTCTTCCAGACTTGGCCGCGGGTCCGCCGTGCATCAGGCTGGCGATGATGACGGTGGGAAGGATGGAGCCCCAGCCGGACTCCACGATTACCACACCCAGAATCTCCCCTTTCTGCTTCTCAATGTACACCTGACACAAACACATCCAACATACTGATGCAGTGTGCTCACAGAATACTGCTTTTTTTGGGGAAGTCGTGGCCTAATGGTTAGAGAGTCGGACTCATAACCCAAAGGTTGTGGGTTCGAGTCTCGTACCGGCAGGGATTGTAGGTGGGGGGAGTGAATGTACAGCGCTCTCTTCCACCTTCAATACCACGACTGAGGTGCCTTTGAGAAAGGCACCGAACCCCAACTGCTCCCCGGGCGCCGCAGCATAAATGGCTGCCCACTGCTCCGGGTGTGTGTTCACGGTGTGTGTGTGTTCACTGCTGTGTGTGTGTGCACTTTGGATAGGTAAACCAATACTAATTCCGAGTATGGGTCACCATACTTGGCCACATGTCATGTCACTAAATGTACTCAAGCAGTGATTTTATTTAGTGAAGGTGCTGAAGAATGTACAGAAGACGAAGCCATTTGTGTCCGATTTGTGTCCCAATTGCGTCCCCGTGACTCTTTACTGATATAATTACAGGTAAAAGCATAAATAATAAACTTAGTCATATTATTTGATAGTTTTAGTTATTAGTGTGCACGGCAAAATTTATTTTTAAGTAAAATAATCATTCTATTAAAAACATTTGGTAACACTTTATTTTAAGGTGTCCTTGTTACACGTTACATGCACTGACTATTATAATAACAATTAATTATGCATAATTAAATGCAAGTAACCCTAAGCCAAACCCTAACCATATAGTAAGTACATGTAGTTAATTAATATTACTCAGTACTTACACTGTAACAAGAGCACCTTAAAATAAAGTGTAACCAAAAATGTGTTTTTCTTTGGAATATCAGCCAGTTTGCATCATCATCATTTGTAACCACTGCAAAAAGTCCAGTTTTACCTGCATTTTACCAAAATTAAATAAATAAATAAATGATATTTATGCATATTATGGTCAAATGTAGAATCTATTTTTGTCCCTAATTTCTGTTGTCCTGTACATATTTCTACCTTAAAAATGGTTTGATATTCCTGGTATCATATTTATCAAGTGGTTTACCACATTTCAATCAAGGTATGTTTTTCACTTATTATGCTCAAACTGGGCTTTAACTTTTCCAAAGCTT